TGTGAATAATTATCAATCTATTACGATTAACATTCTTGTTTGAAATGGACAAAACTAATATTAAAAACTTTTTTCTTGCACTAACAAATTATTATTATTATTATTATTATTTTAGTTTGTTATATTTAAGTAATTCTACTTAGTAAAAAGTAGGAAGTATTACCAATTGTATGATCGAGTAAAAGATCACAATGTACATTAGATGCAATATTAAATCTTTACGGAAAAGATAATAATTTTAAAATAAAAATTTATTTCAAACAAATATCATGCTTTAAAAGTTCGTCCCAAGAAAAATAACAAACTTTGCCTATAAATTAACTTAATTCAAACAATATAATTTGTGAATGTGATGCCGTGGCTAAACAAGCAAAATATAAGCTTATCGACACGTCCATTTTACGCGTATGACAAAATATGTTAGCACGTTTATGCAATCCCGACCCCATCTTATCCTAACAGAAGCCTAGAAGGCCCATTTGGGCTTGTGAAATCCCGACACCAAATACTTTTAGGATCCGCAATATATTTACTAATGATGACATGTCTATGCAAAGTATTATTGTAATATCATCTTATTCTTACTTATATATTGCGTCTTATGTCCTAAGAAAGAAATAGTGCAGTTGAGAATATCAGAATCATCAAATCTGGTTTCTTAGGTTATATACTTATTTTTACACCATTTGTGCATTAACCATATTGATGGTAGGTTATAATCTTATGTTTTAGTCGCTTATCGCACTTTAATTCACTGCACTTTAATTGAGTTGGAGCTTTTAATCGCTAGTGTTTTGCATTAATTGTGTGTTTTATGCCTTGTATGAGTGATTCCGATCTATGTAAATGTTATGGAATGGATTCAAGCTATTCTAGAGCTTTGAAGTCTAAGTAAAGGCCCAAGGATTAAGTCGGGGTCGAATTCGGGGATCAACGGATGATAGTGGAACGAAACGAAGAATCGAGCAGGCATACTGCACATTGTCCAGTAAAATACACATAACTTTTCGTTTATAAATCCGTTTGGGATCCACAATATATCATTGAAAAGCTATTTAAAAGGGCTATAACTTTCATGTTTTACGTTTTCCCCAAATTCCCAATTTACCACCTAGGTATGCGACCAAGTGCGCGATCGCGCACGTGGGAGCGCATTTGGGGCAGAACAATGTGCAAAATGTGCGACCAAGTGCGCGAGCAGGTCTCCAGGTGCGCGACCGCGCATGTCCTGTCCGGGAAAAGTCCTATTTCGCTAAGAAAATGATAGTTTCGTTCGGAATTTATTTTGGGGGCAGATTAAATGCCCCAAAACACCATTTTTAACACACTTTTGAGATACCTTAGACCTAGGGAAGCTAAGGAAAAGAAGGAGAAGTAAGAGCATAAGGATTTCATCCTTCCTTCCTTACTCAAGATCCGGGTTTGGATTGTATTTATGTTTTCCTTTACTTTTATTTCATTTGTAAAGAACTCCTCCATGTCTATGGAGTAAAACCATTTGGATTTTGATAGATTTGGTGTATTGATAGTTATTTGTGGATTATAACTCTATGTTTATGTATTTAAATCGTTTTTGGAAGATTTAATTGTTGCATCTATGTTCATTTATTCTTATTATCGAAAGAGGCATAATTTGTGATATATTTGCACTATGTTGTTGGTTGAGTTCATAGATTCTTCTACGTAATCGAAAGAGGCTAGTTGAATCCTTGATTAAACCTAGTTAGGAGGATAATCGAAAGAGGTTCTCCTAAAGACCAATCCATTACGAATTCTTGCATATCTTCACCGAGTTTAAATTGGTTCATATTGTGAGGTTGAAACTTAATCGAGAGGAGTTTCTACTAAACATTTGTACTGATAATTAAGTGAATTCGAGAGACTCACTTGAACATTAGAAGTGAATTATCTAGAATTAGATCCCGAACAATTATCTTGCACCTATCCTATCAACCAATATTTTCTCCCATTGATAACTTCTTTGCTTACTTTTGTTGAGATTGTCATTAGTCAATAGTTTAGGTTCTTATTTAGTTTCAATTCTTAATTGTATAAATCTCCATTGTTGATCATCCTAGATAGCGATCGAGCTACGAACTACGAGAATACTATTTAAATCCAATCCATGTGGAGACGATAATTATACTATACTATCTTTGACTAACGAGCATAATTTAAGTGTGTGTTTTGCGCTCGTCACATATCATAGTAGACAGAGGCGGACCTACATGGGGTGTAGAGGAGTCACCGAAACCCGCTAGCCTTGGCAAAAACTGTGTATATATTTGTATATACAACAAGGACCCCTTAAATAATTTTGAGGTGCCCCCACAAACAAAAGATTGATTGCTCCGTTCCTGGGTTCGAGACCCAGCACTAGCACGTTTTTTCATTTTATTTTTCTTCTTCTTTGAATTCAAGATAAAACAGTATCCTGTATTTAGTGCTTAACTTGCTTTTTTTCTTTATCTTTTCTAAGTTTATGAGCAATTATTTAGCACTAGTACATAGTAGTCAACTTCTACACAAAATAGTTTGAAATTCCTTTTGAGAAATATCTTTCTAGACATCGAAAAGATAAAGAGAGACATAAAAATATATCAAAGGAAATTGGAAGGGGAAGAAGATATTCTGTTAGCAAAGCAAAAAGCCAATCACCTTCTTTATCCTGATAATTAAATTTAGAAGTATTACCATTTTCTTGACATGTATAAAAATAAGTAATTCAATAAATCTTTTCCCAAAACAGTAATAAAAAACTTCAAAAATTCTTCCGCCTTCAAGGATCACTTCGGCAAAGTAGCCAACATCCGTCGATTCAACAACAATGACTAAGACTCTGCTTGAATTGCTTAACAGATCTTTAATCTTGATTTTATTAGACTAAGTTTTTGATATTTTTGAACATCACTTGACTCAAAGTCACTAAGTTTTCAAGGAGTTAGCATATCAGATTTTGCCATTACTAGCAGACATATCTATGTCAATAGCGGTGCCCCGCTGCGCTCAAATCCTGGATCCGCCTTTGATAGTAGATTACTTATATATTTTTTCTGCTTATCAGATCAAGCTTATTATAGAGTTTAAGTTATAATAGGGTTCCAAATAAGTTTCTGCAACATGTATAGGGCTTTATTTTAACATTGTCCTACGGCTGCTTCCAAAAAATAACTGTAGAAAATTACTATATATGTCACTTTTCATACATTTTCTTGGTCACATTATTACTATTTAAAGAGTCAAGTAAGTCAAACCCCTAATCAAAATGTTAACTTACATTTCACATTTTGGACTTGATAGTCTGTTAAGAATATATTCACATGGTTTCCAAAATTAATGTCTTTTATTTATAATAAAAAAGGACTTGATATATGAATCATATTGGATGACCCAAAATTTAGATCTAGGTTTATACAATCAGATTTTATAATAAAGTAAGATTAATTTTAGCCAATATTAATATCCAAAAGATGACCAAATATTTTTGTAGTAGGATTCTACGTATGCTATTGAGTAGCAATAAATGACTACAATAATGATATGGCAAATGATTCAAGAATATAGGAGATAACAATAAATAACAATAAATGACATTTAAGTAAATTGATGGGTGGAGGTCACCCGAAAAGGGTGAGATTACCCAATAGTTCTTCTCACACGGATAGATAATGATAAACCCTTGAATATTCGGATCCTCCTTAGATTGTGGAAGAAAAGGTAGATAAAGATAAGAGAAAAAGGTAAGCCTTGTATGTATATAATAAAGGAAGAATCTTCGGAGAATGTCGATGTCTTGTTCTTTACAATGAATATCTGATGGCCTCTATAACTACATATCTTTCTATTTATAAGGGTACATTGACCACAAAACCCTAAATAATACAACTAGGAGGAATATTCGCAAGAATATTCTCTGGGGAACCGTCCACACAACACTAGTCGTTACTGCTTTAATAGAAGGAATGCTAGTCCTCGTCCTCGTCCTCTATTGCGCCACCTCGACTTCGCCGGCGACATGTTTTCTCATGACATCGACCTTTTAAAGCCAAATCATTTTAATCGGTTGACAACACACATGCTTTCTTAGTATCAGCTTGGCCCACATATAATTATGGTAATTTTAGCCCATACACATGTAATATGATGATAATAGATCACAATTCAAGAGATTAAAAGACATAAAGTTTACTCTGATTATGGTGAAGTGATAAATACTCTTTGATAAAGAGTATCCTTAACCAAAATGCCACAAAAGTCAAAACAAGTGTGAGAGGTTCTAATTTCATATAATAATGATACTAAACCGAGAATAGTAATTGATGACACTTTAACCGTGTCGCTCTTGTATTCTGCTCAGAAGCATCAACTTTGATGCATGGCTAATTCTGTAGTCGATGAAATATCCAATGTCGCTGGGCATGATTTGTATTCAAATCTAGTGTATACAAGTAAGAAAACTATGACCTTTTAGAATATATTGGAGTTAGCGGTGTTAAAAGGGTCCACAAAGATTATCACTTAGTGCTATTATGAAAATTTTACACCCAAGTTATGCGTTTGGGGTTTGCAAGAAGTTGCAAAGTTTTTGAAGTTTGCTCTTCCCTGCCTTGAAATCTCTTAACGGTATTGCTCAATAAAGTTAAAGATCATCCAGCTAATCTACCAGTTGTGCTACTGCTGAGCAGTTAATTTGTACCTTTAAAAAAATGAGTTTTATTGAACTTAAGCATGGTCTCTTCCTTTCTAGAAATTGTATGCAATATGTGAAATTGATCTTAATGGATTATACGTATACAAGAAGATGTAAGTGATAGACAGAGGATATAGAAAATTGAGTTGAAATAAGAGGAGCGAGCCCATTATGTTTTAAATCATGCACCAATTGGCCCTCAGGAATATCTCAGTTATCAAATAAATAAATAAATAAATAAATAAATAAATAAATAAATAAATAAGAGAAACAAAGTTTTAAGCATTATTTCATTTTTTTTAATCCTGCATTAACATATTTTACACATTTCTCTCGTGAATGATTTAGAAGACACAATATACAGGTGTTTCATCATTTTCATAATAGGAAGCAGATGCATCTCTGTAGATTTCAAATGCCAAATGAATGGAGTTAATATTCTGTCTATATTCCCTGTCTTCCTCTCTGTGTCTGCATGTCTGTTACATACAACCCCCACTCCATGGACAAAAGGCTGAGAGTTTGACAAGATGAAACAAAATTTCTTCTCAGGAAAAAGCTCGCATTGGGTTCCTAAGAGGTGCGGACATCCTTTAATTGAAGGCAACAGTCAGTATATGTAGGGAAGCATTTGAATCAGTTGCAGCTGCAAATGCTGCAGAGCTATTTAAGCTCGCATTCCTTACCATCTCAAGATCTCCACTGGTGCCAACTTCCCTTGTTGAAACATCTAAAACATTACTCAAAGCATGATATTTTAGATGCTTTCAACTTACTCAAAGAAAAGGAAGTAGTAAAAATGCTGCAGAGCTATTTAAGCTTGCATTCCTGACCATTTCAAGATCTCCACTGGTGCCAACTTCCCTTGTTGAAACATCTAAGCATTATCAAAGCATGATATTTTAGATGCTTTCAACTTCCTCAAAGAAAAGAAAGTTTAGTAAATGTTTTTCGGGTCATCTGATTATACCCATTGCACTTCCTGAACACTGGTACTGTACTGATATAACCTGGATGGATGTTATCATCGATAGGTTGCATTGTTAAACTGGGAAATATAAACACCGTACGCAGAAATCCATAGTAATGGGGGAAAGGTTGTTGTACTTTATATTTCTGTAAGAGCTTTTTGAAAGTGACAAGAACTAAGGCTTCAAAATCTTACCATAAAGAACTGAAGTTTGAATATCACAGCACTACAATCAAAGGATAGTATAAATCGAAAAAACATGCTACTGTAACTGCAGGACATCTACATTTAAAATGTGCAAGGATCACAACAATTCGATAACCAGTACAATTATCAAAAACGTTTACATAGCCCAGGAAAACCTGAAGCTTGGCGTAAATAGGATAAAGTTGTTTCCAGACCCGGTCAATGCCAATTCTGAGAAATCTAAACAAATGTTTGATAAGCATTTGATTGCCTATATAGGATTCTATCATCCAAGAACCAAAACACCATAAGAACATCCCCGTCAAATATGTTTAACCATAAGCACTTCATTTTTCTTACCATTCCTTGACAATGGATCACATGGAATTACTTCATACCCAGCGTCCAAGTACAAATCAAAATCATCAGGATGAGCCTTCACCACCAAATATTTGAAGCCCCAAAGTTTGGCAAGCTCATCACATGCCTTGAGTAGAGTTGTGGCAACTTTATATATCCTGCAATTGACAACATTAATTAAGTGTACAGCAGCTAGTAAGTCTCATCGAGATACTATCAATTTGCATTAGTTGTGAGTTCCATCCTTAGCTAACTGTTTTCTCTAGCACACCCAATTCAACACACAATATATAGTGAAGTTTCAGCTGACACACAACATTAATCAAGAAGAAATGTGGAAAAGAATGATTATAACAGAAAGCATTTAGTGTTGAATCTTGGACCTGAAGTTTTTAAGGACAGCATTTCCCAATATATACACATATTCTTCTGCTTCAGGGAGGTGTTGAAGCACATCATCTTTCTGCACAATTATATCGACAGCTCCAACAAGATGTTTTCCAAAGTCAAAAGAGTAATAAGTCGAGGGCTCCGCCACTAAAACTGCATACCTGCTTAGGCAAGATGCCATAGGAAATCACTATTTCAAGAATAAGATATATGAACTACAAAATAGTTTGAAACCTGCCTTTCTCACTCTTAAGAAAAGAATAAGATTAAGAAGCAATTGGACATAGAATAATAAACTAAAGAGTTTGTTCTTGCTTCACTAAAACAAAGGAACTCGTCCATCTCCATGTTTAACTAAAACATAGCTCATCTACTATAATCTCGTATTCTCATCTCCTTCAACAGAAAGGGGGTGGAACCTTCCTCTATTTAAATCTTAACAAGGCTAATGTTCATTCTCAAGTTCTTGAGTTGAGTTGAGTTGAAAGTAAACTACCTAAATAAGTGATAAAAAGCTTTTCTATTAACAAGATGCTGAAGTAGTTCGAGTATAAATGTGAAGTCCCAATACTCTTGTTGTACATATGAGAATATCCAACCTTTGATCAGCCAGAGTATCAAAGTGGCCATCATCAAGCAGAGGCCTTGCCTAATTTCATGAGAAAATTGTTACTTATTTAAGGAACCTGTTATTTTGCTTTTATATTCAATAGGGGGTGGGAAGCAGTAAGTAGAAGAACATGGATGCGATTGATCATCTCAGAAGCATGACGGTTACAACCAATAAAAGAAAAACTGAATAGTCCTTAATAAGAAGAGCACCAGTGAAAGGATATCATGAAGATATTTTTGGTTACTAAATGCAGATAGTATAATGGCAATCACTGCCACCAATTTTGTGTTAGGAACGAGGTGGAAGGTTACTCAAATTCTAATCCACCATACATGTCAGTTTGATGGGAAGTGAGTAACATGCTAACAGCCTCTGGTCAATATGCAAGACACAGCCCCAGCTTGATGGAGTAGAAAGACGAGAGAAAGCTAAACAGGCTATGAAAAGAGGTTTAGCAAGAGAATAACCTGAAATGCCAACACCGTAAACAGAAGGCTCATAAAATGTGAAACAGATGACTATGGAAATAGATAGAGGAACACACAGATGAATGCGTTGTCCTGACCTCACACAACAACTTGACATGATTTTTTGATCAGCAAGTTCATGCCCAGTAAGCCATAAAATAATAAGTCAGAACATTTTCCAGGCATTATTTGTTCTCGAAATTAAACTATCAACTGGAGATAATGTGATATAGGATTGCCAGTATTCTTGAACCTACAGCCTTTCCACATAGACTTATAGACCAGTTCACCCACTACAACTCTGTACTGACAAAGCTAGGACACGAAAATGAATGCTGAAGGTTTGTCATAAAGTTTTGAGCTTTACCCTTGCTCTTCAGTCTTCACGAGTCACATTAGCAATTCCTTAAAATACAATTATCCTTCCACGAGTTGGTCTCTGACACCAAACTAGCTACTCCTTCAGATATTGTATAATTCTTTACTAAACTGCTCCTTCAGCCAGTATTTTGAAGTTTTTACAGTAGTCCGTGATATTTTTATTACTGAAAGCAACATAATCTGAAAACAGTGGAATTCAACTGGAAAATGTTAAAAGGGGATATAAGAAAGTGGAATAAGGAGGTGTTTGGGAGGGTAGAAATTCAAATGAAGGAGCTAATTAATGAGGTGGGATGCGATGGGTGATGCCGGGCATAGTAAAGGAGGCGTTGCATAGTTGGGCTCACATAAGGGGAAGAGAAGTCAAGGGCATGGAGTGATGTGGGTTATTTGGAGAGAGAAATAGGAGGCATTTGAAGTAACAAGATTCTAGGAAATTGCAAAATAGCCTTTTGTTTCTTGTTTCTTTTTGGTGTACTCATGAGGTCCCGATTTGTATAGAGGATTGGGCCTCTTTTGTTGAGAACCATATTTTGGTGTAAGTTCTCTTCTTTTTGATATACTAGTCTTAGAGTACGCGCGTTGCACGTGTACCGCGATTAATGAAGATATATCGTATTAAAATAAACATGAATAATATTCAAAATATATGTTTGAGATAATTAAAAGATTTGTTTTTAAATATGTATCCGGCTATATCCAAAAAAAAAAATCTAAATATTTGGCTATTGAAGAAAACATTACTCAAATCAGTAAAGTAAATTAAACTTATTTTTTTTAAAGAGGTTTATTTTAGACTTGTTTTCCAACTCAAGTAGAATATTTATTAGTTTCTGCCTGATGAGAAATAGAAGAGTTAAATTAATTAGATAGACAATACAAGTAATTGATATGTAGTATATTTCATATGTTTACATTAAATATATTGCTATTTGATTTAGTCTAAAATGACATATTTATTCTAACAAAGTAAAAAAAAGAGACAAAAGTTAGAAATAAGAATTTTTCCTAACCATTTCTAACATGATAAAACATAAAAAGGAAGAGAGACAGAAATTTTGTTTCCCTAGTCAATTGCGCGTACCTTAGTCAATAGTACGCGCCTTGCGCGTGTATCTTGTGTAAGTGTGTAAACAATCTTTAAAACATTATATAAATATTACTATATTTAAGATTTATTAATCTTAATAAAGCTCTTTAATTAGATATTTTTGACAAACAACCGCATTCCAAAAAGAATATAATCCGCAAGTTATCATCTAAGCTAGTTAATGGACCCACATAAAATGTCAAAATATCTCAGCTCATTGACGACCGCATTAATTTCTTCATCCAACAACTTCCTTTGATCAGTTTTATCTATTTAAATTCTTTGCTTCAACAATTAACCTAGAAATCTTTCATTTAGTTCACGCGACAGCAACAAACACACATATCAAGCAACTAAAACATAAAGTCTAGAAAAGAATAAATTATAGCTTGTTGTTTCAAAATTCGCTAAGGTAAGAAAGAATAACAAGAGGAGAAAGCAAAAGATAACAGACCATGTTTTTAATCAAAATTATGCATAGAACTTTTTTTGTTAACGTTTTTGTTCCTCTGATCATTTCATGCCTATGAGACAAACACCTAGTTAGAATATAGAATTTAGCAATTGTTCTCAGTTACAATTTTGTATTAGTTGGTTTAAGATCTAAGAAAATTATGTTTGTTATATCAGATAACATCTTATGCTACCTTCTGGACCGATGATTCCTTCACACAGATTACGTATTTGATCAATAAAGAACTCTAGATTATACTTACATGAATAATCCAATCTAAACTGCAAACTAATTAATTATGTCTACCTTCTAAAAGCAGGATTCACAAAAGATCTGCCACTTGACCCTGCGACATCGTCTGGTGTGACAGTATCGGTGTAATCAAGCATAGCCTTTGACTACGCCGGCAAACACTTGCAAGCAGCAGGTTAGAGAACATCAGAGTATATATTTTAGATCTTTGTAACCAAGTTTAAGTTGATTTTAAATTACAAAATATTTTAAAATTAACATGAAAAATATTAAATTATTTTAATTAGTTTAAATAAGGAAATAAAGAATTAATATAAAGTAAAATCTATTAATTTAAAGTCCTAAATATCAGGACTTTTTACATAGGTCAATAAGGAAAGATTTAATAATTAAAATTTTAGTTTAAATAAGGAAAGATATAATAAATAAATTTATTTTATTTCAAAGTCCTAATATACAATAATTGTAAAGACTATTTTGATCGGTGTGAATCTATTTTTAGAGGTTAAAAAAGACGAACGACATTTCGCTAAGGGCCTTCGTGCTTTTAATATAATATAGATAGCTTGTATATGGGTTCCCCCAATTGTTAATAAAATTATTTACCTTATAGAAAAAGGTGTTCGTGCCAGAACTCTAGAGGTGGCTTATAGAACAAGATGGTGTTGAAGTATAGGCTAAAAATATTGCCCTGTTGCTGCAGTCTATAGAAATCTAGACTACTTGATAAATCAGCCAAAATTCCACTTTTCAAAGTAGGTTGATGCTGCGGAGAGAGTCCACATAGCGAATTTTGGCAACTACGTGTTACTGCCAAATGTAAGGTAGCATGATTAATCATTCTATCTTGCAGAGACTTGGAACTAAGTTATGCTTGTATGACTTTAGACTAATCTAGTAATTTAAGATATATGTTAATGAAGGTGATATCAGTTATGTAGAAGCTAGACCGATAGGATGTTCCCGTTGGTGAGATCTTACATTTATACCAACCCTAACATGAACATCCTTGAGTCTTTAACTAAACTGTTCTTTGCTGGTGTGCAAGATGAGGATCAAGGCCTCGCTCAAGTGATATAATAAAAGACAAAATTTGTATAACCCAATGAAGGAGCTTTATCAAATGAAGGTGTACATGGATTCTCAAGGGCCTGAGCTCCTCATCCAATCAATCTCATACATGATGGGCAAGACATGGAAATGTCGACCTTGACCTCAAATAGGTACGCGGCTCAAATTGGGCCTATGTATGGCGTCGGCAAAAGGATAGGGGACCAATCAATTGACAATTTGATCAATAAAGAACTTCAGTTATTACGACTAGCAGCCTATAGGAAATGTCGACTAGATTCATGTATGAACTTCTGTTATTACGACTAGCAGCCTATATGCACCATTCAGTTGACATGCATGAAAGCAATTTAATTTGATGACAGGACCGAGCCAGATGGAGCAAATTGGATTAGGCCTGATGATGTGGAGGAAGCACATATTGATAAAATAATTTGGCTCCTTTTAGGGGCTTGCAATCTCAGACAACATATATTTTGAACATAGATTTACTTGTTCAATACTGTAGAAATAAGATGTCTATCCCGTTGCATTTTGTATAAACTCAGATATAAATGAATAGCACCTACAATTTGTAAGAGAAACAATTAACTAATAAGCATATTAATCAGACAAGTAAACCTAGGTTTCACTGAAATATGGTGTCCTTTATCTTGTTAACATAAGATATAGAAACTAATAGCATTTGCAGCTACACCTCATGAAATCAGCAACCTTAGAAACCAAGCTATATCTGCAAAACTCCTAGTAACAACATCAAACTCCACACTGACAAAGATTTGCCCAAATAGCAACACACAACCAACAATAAAGTAGAGTTTCATCCATTTAACAAATACCAAGAAGTTATAATAAGAAAAGAGGTCAATAACTTCAAGGAACAGAATTAGAAAAGAAACTTCTTGTCAGTGTTGACCCAGATTACTGCACCACTCACACATGCACGTGATATATCTGAACCACATGTAGCTGACCCGGATACATGTAGCTGACCGAGATTACTGAACCACTCACAAAACAAACTTACCCAGTCAACAATATTGTCGTGAAGGTAGTCTTGAGCTTTATCAATTGGCCGTTTTCCAGTTATAACGGTGTTATTATTTGTCAAGAAGTAGTAAGTAGTCACACTACACTAATTCTCTTAAAACAGAGAAAAACAGAGAATACATAACACCGAAAATAAGAATGGTTGATGTTTACGTGTCTGGTGGTAAATTTTGTAGGTTGGCACCAATCCGTTGAATTACTTCAGCCTACAGAACAAAAGGGGATGAAGTAGTTAATAGCTAAAGATATGCTATAAGGATTATAGATTGGCAGAGAGGGATATGCCTAGCATTTTTCAACCAAACAATGCTATCTTTTTGTTGCCTCTCCCGTTTCGCAGCAACCAAACAATTTCAACGAAAAGTACTTCAAACAAAATACAATACTAGCACTAAAACTCACGAGAATTATTTAAAATCAGAACAAGACTAATCAAAATTTTGCAACAAATTAAGCGAAAATATAAAAAAAAATTTAAAGAAAAGGATATTTGGCCAAAACCTGAAAGAAACTGAAGTCCAAAAGCCGAGATAATCTGAAACCCAAATACCGAAACATGAGACACAAGAGACACTGGTATACCAAAAGACCGAATGATATTGCCGACAAGAGACACTTCATCTTTATCAAGAAGTCTAATAAGCTTGTCCGAAATAAGAGAGATCTTCATGGCCAAAGCTTCAAAAAACTTGAACATGCGAGCTATTAAACTCAATTTGCCGAATACTTCATCATATATTTCTGCAACTTTACACAGTTCATCATCATCCAAAAGAATTCTTCTTACTACGAAACCATTTTCTTCCACCAACGCAATTCTTCTTACAATGTACCCAGCATTCTCATCAAACCAAACCTTAGGTGTGTGAACTTTCCTCTCTCCCTTTGGTACGGGAAAATCAACACTAGAACACTGTAAAGTCTGCAAAGTCTTTTTTTGGGAAAGAGAAACGCTAGACAATTTGAGGAATCCGCACTTCAAAGAATCATCCATTTTGAATGTCGTAGAGTTACCCAAAAATTTTGGTTGACTTAGACTGAGAGTCATTGTTGTTCTCTCTAACACTTTCTTCAGACTTGCTTGCCAAGACCTGCAAAAATGGAATGAGGAATGGTTATATAGTTTGCTATTTTTTTGTCTTGTCCTGGTTGCGTATTAGACTATTTTACTCTCACCTTTATTTGAGACGGGTCTTAAGATAATTCGCAATCCGTCTCACTCACTCACACTTAGTGTTTGGTCGAGTTGCGTAATTCACCATTGACACTTAGTGGGAAAACTAAATGGAAAACAGTAAAGGATAGAACTTCTTTTTATGCTCAAAGTTCACAACTTAGAACACCCAAAAACCATATACAGACCTCAAAGTGAGAAGCAGACCTCAAAGTGGTTTCATATAAACAAAAATCTGAAATTTTACCTTCCTCAACAAAACTCATATTTGTATAAATGAGCATACAAAAGTATGAGAAAAACTATGATAAAAAAAAGTAATGACCACATTATGCAAACACTCTACCTAAACAGAATTTAGAACTTTTTTTGATAGAACTAAAGAATTCATGTCTATACAAAACAGTTCAAAGGTCGCTCCAACAATATTCACACAGGTCAAGAGACATCAAGGATGGCATGAATAATAGAATTACATTCAGGCATACCTGCAACGCATCGTGCTGCTATACATAATAGTTCAAGGACGCTCAAACAATATTCACACAGGTTAAGAGACACCCAAGATAGCAACCATTGGATTGTAATCAATTTAGTATCATATTCGGAATCTTTATCAATTTATCGAATTCAAGCTTTACAGCTTGGAAGAACGATTTCCAAATGCCATATCTAGCACTGATATCAGAAGATAAGATAGAAAAATCCTTGGGTTGTACTCTTTTCACCTACAACTATGGGTACATAATAAAAGATATAGATGAACCTCTGCTTTGACAAAGAAAAGATTAGTAGATAACGTCTACATGTTATATTTTGTGATTTATCCTACAAAATCAAAACACTGCCTTTAGAGTGCTGATTAAAATTCTTTCATCAGTTTCACATCAATATTCACGCATTGAACCTTAATCTAGTGACGTGTACTATGAAAACAGATATTTCATCAATGGTGTAAGATAAGATTTAGATTGATTGAATGTGATGAAAAAATGTTAAAGATCAGACAATCAGACAGATAAAATTTTTGGTTCTTTACATCTCTTATACTGTATGCTTTGAGAACCCACTGCCTTAACCTGATTACAGGTTATACAGCCCATTAGCCTTTAAGCTAAGTATTAAATAGTACAAGAAAACGTTAGACCTGTTCATCATCCAGCCCGACTAATATAATTAGTTGCTTCATACATCTTATACAACGTGCTTGCTACTGATGGGTTCAACAAGAAATTTGTACTATGGAAGTGTTTTTCATCCAACGGGAACCTCTTTCAACCAAGTTAGATCATTCTATCATGATTGAAAACCCTCAATTTTGGTTCCACTGCTGCAGATCTGCTAATAGCACTTCAACGGCATGTGGGCAAGATCTAGAAAGCACCTGAGGGTCTCCAAATTGGTGGGTGACATGAAACCGAACTTTCATGATAATCACAAAACTTCACCTGATTAATGGTTGAAGCCAAAAGAAAGACCTTTCGAAATGCAATACTTGAAAGACAATACAAAGAAAACATAACAGAGAAGAAGAGCTCAACAAATTCTGTATCCACTTAAGCAAGTGAAGCAATTGTCAGTAATCAGCATATTTTCCCAAAGAACGGCACATGAACAACAAAGTGCAATTGACCTAAGCTATTGGTTGAGAATGGCATGGCAATCTTATTGTTTACAGATAATAGACCTCAAATGTTAATTATGCTCAGAGAAGGAATACAATGGAAAGGCCTTTTGATGAGAAAGAGGTGGAGAACACAGTAAAGAATTGTTCCGGAGGATGTTATGGGTTGCATGGATCAGTTTTATCAGTGTTGCTCATTTGAGAATACCTTTTTCCTGTTTCCTTCATTCTCCAAAACACAGCAGCAAAAATTTGGTTGGTTAACAAAGGAGATATCTTCGGCATACAGTACAAGTTTGTGGGCAGGGACCATGAAACTTAAAATTGAATTTTGAATTCTTTATCAAAAAGGGGAGTGGAGTACTCTTTTGGCTTGATTTATGATGAAGAGACAATACGCTGAAAGCTATGTTGCTCGGACTCTCCGAAAATATTACTGAGTGCTTGTCGGATCTTTCAAAAGTAGTGCATTTTTGAAGGATCGGACACGGAAGCAAACGCATTTTGGAGAGTCCGCACAACATAGCTAGAAAGATAGCTTTCACAGGTAGGCGAAGCCAGTATTTGAAATTTATGGGTACTAAACTTATCATCAAACCCATAGCTCGTTTTAGTTACTGTGAGTACGCAATTACATATTTATATACATTTAATGGGTTTCCTAACACAAATACAATCTATGCAAAAGTTACTGGAAGGTTAAAATTAAAATTTCCCCAAAATGATGAACCTTCCAACAAAAACAAATTATATTTTAGTACTCTTAAAACAAGAAGAAATTTCTATTTGTTCATTTCAAACCTCATGGATATTCAAAAGTTAACGTAGTAGCAATCTGAAAAATTTAAAAGAATTAAAACCTAAAAACTTTATTTTATTCTGCATTTAACTCTAAAAATTCAAATGACAAATCAAAGAGTCATACAATCTAGTGAAGTTACAAAAAGCAAAAGCCAGAATTTTAGGAGAGGAAATTAAACAAGAAATTAAAACTTTTACCAGGAAGAATGTACGGAACTGAAGCTTTTCTGCTTCGATAGTCTTCTCTATGGAGTAGCACCCAACCCGCCTGCTAATTTAGGTGTTATTTGCTTGCTAATTGGACCACAATCTTTTGCCCTTGTCCTTGTAGCTATTTTTGCAATTTTATTCCACAAAACTGTACTCTTTTAGCAAACGTAGAAAAAGAAAAATAAACCGAATGAAATAGTAATCGATTAGCAATGAATAATGCATGAATTGGTATGCAAGAATTATTTAATATTTAGTTTGATATATTAAAAATTGCATATAATATTTAATTTGATATATTATAAATTAGTATACAATGCATAATTTAAAATTTTAAACTAAATAAAAAATGTCGTTCAATCTTTCTAACTACCAAATTAAGTTGTTCTACTTACAAGTATGATCCTGTAAACTAAAAAATAAAATAAATATTATACTATAATATGTGAAATTACACTCATTTTTATATTATAATTTGAAAATTATGTAGGTATATAACATAAATAACTAACCACATTACGTTTCATTTTATATGATTTTTTTTTGTTCCTTCAAAAAAGAATGAGATATATATTGAAAATATCTTTAACTATAAACTTTTCATTTTATTCTTAATAACATACATTTATAGTATAAAATCACAAATTGTAAGGAAACTTTTAATGTGTGTATTCTTATTAAAATTTAAATTATAAACTGAATTACAATATATTCCAGAATTCAATGTAATCTGTTCCAGCTAGCTCAAATATTCATTTTAACCTCCTCTAAGAATTCAGCTCCATAAAGAAAATGTTGTACCCCTCCGCTTTTAAAAACAAATTCATGAAATTCCCCATTTACCCCCAAGTATCCTTTCCTTCTACTATTATTTTTTCCAGCTTACAAGCTGACTGGACAGATAGGTATAAAAGCATCCTTGGGCCTGGGCCTAAATGTGCACATGGACCAAAAGTGTTTGGCCCAAGTTTGCTTTGGCCCGAGCTGACAGATGCCCTTTCATCCAAACAAAGTACTATCCCATATCAGAAATCAGAAATAATAGATAAAGAAAATCAGTAAATTCTAAACCTGAGGACAGAAATGAAACGAGGGGAAAAGGGAACTGAATTCCACCACCGTCCGGCACTTCGGAACTCAATGCAAACCTTGAAACTATGATGGAGATAGCACATATCCGGCAACGAACAGACCCTCTTATCGACGTATGCTAAAAATTGACAATTCGTCAATCCTTAGTATCACGCTGACAAGAAAGTCTGTTCGAGTCGTTCTGAGCAAAACTTTGAGGGTCCAGCATAATCTGGTCGAGAATACTAGTGGAAAAGGGACGCTCGCCGGCGACTTGCCGGAATCCGTCCATCGGAGTTCGGGCTCGAAACCAATAAAGATCGACAGATCTTTACGATACCTATCAGCATATGCAAGATTTGCGATGAGGAGGTGCTCAAAACTCTACGAATTTGAAAAGGAGTGAAAAAGATAGGCTTTTTACTGATTTTCGATTAATTCGCAGAGATTGGCGGGGAATTAAGAGTTTTGGCTTATGGATTCGGATAGAGAATGAAAAAAGGAAGATGTGGTTAGTTTGGTGGCATTTGGACCACCACCGGCGGCGGACGGTGGAGGCGGCGGGCGGCGGCGTCATTGGCGGTGTTAGGTGGGGCGAATTCCGGCTACCAGCCGAATAGAGAGAGAAAGGGGGTGGCTTGAGGTGATGAGTTAATTTTGGTGAAAATCCAATCTTTAAGGAAATTTTATTCCCCAAAATAAAGGAATTCTTTTTATTCACGGACTTTCATTTTAAACTGTTGGAAAGAATGCTGAACGCCTGACTTTTGGTTTGGACTTGGCCCAACTCTAAATTTTCAGGAAGTGCAAAAGTATCCAATTTTTGTGACTTTTTCGTATATATACGAGATTTTAATCTTATTTATCCAGTTTTGTCTACGTTTTCATATTTATAGGAAGTAACAAAAGTTTTTTATAAAATATATATAAATTCGGTCAAAATCTATAATTTATCTACAATATAAATACATATTTTTTGCATAAAATCCAGGCAAAAATTATAATTTATATACAACGTATATGTAATATGTAAGTTGTAGATATTTTGTATAAAAGAATCATAACGTGAAAGAATGCTGAACGCGTGACTTTTGGTTTGGACTTGGCCCAACTCTAAATTTTCACGAAGTGCAAAAGTATTCAATTTTTATGCCACCATTTAACTTAAGTTTCACATTATATTAGGGCTACTTTCATTATTAACAGACTATTAAAAATATAATACAAAAGATTAGCATTAATTAATGATTAACAAATATGGCAGTAAAATATCTATACGTATAACAGATTTCATTCAATTCAAATCAATAAGAATCAATCTGCTAAAAAAGGCAGTCCTAGTATTTAATATTTTTCCCTATTGTTTTCTCTCCGTTCCATAACATGTTTTATGTTTTCGTTCGAAACCAATCCATTCCATAACTGATTTTTTTCTTTCCATACATGAACATTTTTATATAATGTAATGTAGCAAAATTATACATCTTTATATTCTGATGAAATAAAATACATATATTTCATGAAAAAATATAATGTATCTTTGTGGTACATATACATTATAAATCATGTATTTTTCAGGAAAATTTGTGTATATGTACATATGTTATTTATATACATCTTTATATTTAAATATATATCATCGATCCATTCCATAATATATTTTTTTCTTTTTTTATACATAAACCTTTTTATTCAACTTAATGCTAGCAAAATTATATATTTGTATATTCTAGTGAAATAAAATACATATATTTCGTGAAAAAAATATGATGTATGTTTGTGGGATATTATAAATCATGTGTTTGTTTTAGGAAAAATAATGTATATATGCATATGTTATTTATACACTTATTATATTTAAATAGATATTACTAATATACCATTTATATTTTGCACTATTATAACATGCATATTTGTATAAATTATCCGTATATAAACAACATATGTGACATATTTTTCTTCTTCTATATACATATTATTGGCATGTTAATATTTTAGATTAAATTTTATGTAAGGTATTTACTAGCAATATATTTTGAATAATATCAATATAATAATGTATTATGATGTATATATATAAGTTATATACGTGGTATAAGTACATATTAAAAATATGTATGACATATTGATAAAAATATTTACATTATAAGTTATCACAATATAATATACTTGAAATATATTAAAGGTATATTTTGAGTTAAAATAAAATTGTACATAAAAAAGTTTAAAACTCAAAAAATAAAAAAAATACTAAAATTCTCATTGTGCAGAAGGAATTATTTTTGAGTTCTTCTTTCAAATTCTTTCAGAATCTTTGATATATTTGGGTAAGTATTATTTATGGATGAGAAAAAAAATATTATGGAAGAGTGAGGGCAAAGGAAATGTAGTAAAAAGTGTAATAATGTAGAGGAATCCTTTAGTTAATGGAGTTACCAACATGAAAGTGCTAAAAAAGTAAATTAAAAAGTGCCCTTTTTGTAATAAACAAAGTTACTATCATTTATAAGAATAGTTTTTAAAATTTAGCAGGCATGTAAAAATCATAATCTGAAAGAATGCTGAACGCGTGACTTTTGGTTTGGACTTGGCCTAACTCTAAATTTTCGCGAAGTGCAAAAGTATCCAATTTTTGTGCCACTATTTAACTTAAGTTTCACATTATATTTTTTAAGGGAAACTTTCATAAATACAATACATATAAGAGTTAATTATATAAACTACAACTATGTTAGATATTACATATTGTACAACTACAAATTTTAAATGTTATTCTATTTATACTATACAATCTAGATTATTGCTATGAATAAAAGGCTAAAAATAAGGAGATTCTTTATATTGGTGATAACATAATTAGATGTATATCAAAACAAAATAATCTCTTACCTAAAAAAGCTCCAACACAAAGTAGCTAGCATTCTAATTTATTTTCATTGTTATTCCATCTGAAACCAATTTTAGTTTGCCATATATAGTTTATACGTAAAGTATGATATACGTAATATATAAATTATTTTTACCTTTTAGCAAATACGTACAATTTCCCCATTCCAGTAGGTGCCAATCGAATAATTAAATCATTTTTGCATAGAAAAAATATATTTTAAATCTAGATAGCAATAAAACTTTTTTATACAAAGCATTTCATATCAAGAAGTGTACTTCGTAAAATCATAATTATTATTAAAACGTTTGACTTTTTTTAGATGAGTATTTACTGTAATGTATACTGTTACAGTATACAATAATTATCATTCTATTAGGATATACATTCATATTTGTACAATTTACTTATATAAATTGTATATTATATAAATATACAAATACACAATAATACATTACATGATATACAGTATACGTGATATATAATAATGTATATCATATACACAGTAAAAACATTAATTAACACATTGCAAAAGTCCAGCGTAGAACAAATTTCATTATAGAATACCTTTACCATATATTGTATACACATACTAGAAAGAAAGAAACACCATTAACAAATATATTGTACACAATATAATATATACAAATAATGTATATTTTGTATCAATTACACAAATAATAGAAAAAGTATAGTACAATGTATAATCAACTCTCTTGTCCTTTCCATTGTTTTTGTTCGCAGCAACAGTTGAATGCATTTTATACCCATTTTTTTCTCGTTTGTAGTTATCAAATTCACACAAATCAAAAACCCTACAATCTATTGGAATCAAAATATGAAGAAGTTTTGGGATGATAAAGGGGATTAATAATATCAGAAAATGGGAAGAAAAAAAGTTAGTGTGGAAAGGGAAAATAATTTTACGCCTACAAGTGGAAGAGTATGATAATAATGATTTCTGAAGTTGGGTATTGCAAGATCATCTAATATTGAAAAGAGGGAACATTGATAAGTTTGAAATAGGTTGAATAGTAAACTGATTTAATTTTTCTATTTTAACGCCCTAACTTGAGGAAAGAGATATTTTTTAAGTGAGAGAGAATCTTAAGGAAGGGATTTTAAGGATATGAAAAGTTGTACATAATTTAATTAAAAAGATAAGATTTTAAAATAAGTTGTACTAAAAGTAATTTAGTAAAAGCAGTTGTAAAAAATATAAATAAGTCTTTAAAGGGTTGTATTCTATGTAAATTCCTCGTTACAAAATTGCCACTGAATTCGTATTTAAAAATCTGCAATATTTTCAATTATTGAAACCAACATATGTCTTTCATTACAAGATCAAATGGAGTGATTCAAAAGTCTAACTTGACTGAAATTACACGAGAAATCCATTGGAGGCATTAAAAGTGAGTTTCAGGATTGTTTGGCACAAGAAACGAGGCAGAACGACTGAGTATTTTTGGCTATTAATGTTGTTGGAGTTTTTCCTCATCTTGAAAGTTTGGGATTGGGAGAATTCAAGGATGTTCTTTAAGTTTCTTCCATAGGGTAAGTATTTCTCTACTCGATTTTGATTATATTCCGTGATTCCATCTTCGTTTTTAGCATTTGATTGATGATTTCAAAAGAGAAATCGGGGTTTTTGTATAAACTTTCATAAAGTGAATTTTTGAGTTTTGAACACCGATTCAGAGTCGGATTTGAATGAATTTAGTATGATTGGACTCATAATTGAATAGGTTATCAGATTTATAAGTTTTGTCTGGTTCTGAGGTGCGAGCCCGGGTTTGACTTTTTAGTTGACTTTGGGTAAATATATAAAGATTCGACCTTTATCGATTGGGTTTGCTTCCCATAGCATTATTTGATGATTTTGAGTTGCTTTTGGCTAGTTTCGAGTTTCGGAGGATGATTTGAGCGGGATAGCGCTTCTAGTGTATCGATTGAGCTTAATTGAGGTAAGTATCTTGCCTAACTTTGTGTAGGGAAAACTACCCTTTAGGATTTGGGTTGATTGTGCTATTTGTGTTTTATGAAGGTCGTGCACACAAGGTGATGAGTGAGTACACAGGCTATATATGGTATTTGACCGATTTAGATTATCTAGACTCTTTCCATGCCTTTAATTGAATTGACATAACATGTTATGTCTCTTATTGTTAATCTACTCTTTCATGCACTTTTTGACGTTCTTAGAACTTGTTCTACCTCTTACTTATTATTTTGCTCTTATATGCTTTAGTTGAAGTTATTGTCTTCCTTATTGTCTTGTTACCTCTTACTTGTTGAATCACTTTTAATTAATGTTATTATTTCATGGATATCATCTTGTTGAGTTATTGGTGTTGAAGTTGTAATAGCCGTTATCACATTGAGGCGAAGTTGTTAATTGTTGAGATACCTTTTCTTGTTGAGCATTCTCATTCATTTTGTTATTGTTGAAATTCTTATACATATTGTGGTTGAACCATGGGCTATCTATTATGGAATTATTGGTGTTGTTGACTTTGTGGTAAGTTGTGGCATATGGACACTTGTGGTGCGAGTTTTGATTTTGTTGTGATATTGATACACATGCGGTGATATAAGGCTAGGGTTTGATACAAATGCGGTGAGATAAGGTGGGCTTGATACGCGTATTGCTAGTAGGGGAACTACTTGAAGCCACGTGGTGAGATAAGGTGGGCTAAAACGCATGTAGCTCTTTCGAAAAAAATAATTTTCAAAACTAAATGTAATGCCCACGTGGTGATATAAAGAAAGATTGTGATTGAAATTGTGAAATGTGAATACGAGGCGGTACCTTGGTTATGATTTTCATTGTATATTCCATGTTTGAACAACTTGTTGATTTGAACGGTCATTG